AGAGTACCCAGTCGTTTGTGCGCCACTTCTCTGGACGTTTTCTCCTCATGTTCTCCCTCAAACGCCTTAGAACATCGTGATAGAACTCTTTATTGACTGTCTGACCAGGAGGGGCGAACTCCTTATGAACAATCCCGTCAGTATCAAAAAAACAGGTCAACATGGACTTAATGTTGCTCTTGACTTGTTTAGCTTTTTTTGGCTGAGGTGAAGAAGGGCTCTTCCATTGCGACGATTGCTGCTTGCTTTCAGGGACGTAGCCATAAACCCAACTTTCGTCACCAGTGACAACCTTCGAAAGAAAGTTTGGATCCTCCTGAAGCTGTTGCTGAAGTTCCCTGCGGACTTCCAAGCGATGCTGCTTGTGTTCATTTTGCAGCAGTCGTGGCACAAACTTCTCCGCAATCCTCCACATGTTCAGTTCCTCTGACAAAATTCGTTGACATGTACCATAACTTAGTCCCAAGGTGTTACAGAGGTCTTGGATGGTCAGTCTACGATCTTGCAGAATCAGATCCTTAACTTTCCTGACATTTTCTGGTGTTTTGCCAGTTGACGGCTGTCCCGAACGATCGTCATCATCAGTCAATGTTCGGCCATTTTTGAAACGTTTATACCAGTTGTAAGTTTGTGTCTGGCCTAAACTGTTTTCTCCAAAAGCTTGCTTCAACATTTGGTGCGTTTCTGCAGCGGTTTTCCCAAATTTTAAACAAAACTTTATACAGGCATGCTGCTCTCTCAGGTCAGCCATCGCAAAACTGCAAACTCATGGAAACACAACAATGGATGTTACGCCGCGCGCAGGGGGGGGGCGTGGAGGTATCCCTCCTTGCCACCCCACTGTAATGTCACAACGCTGGTACCACTTGTAACTCCGTGACGACGGGGGTGTGCTGGTACCCCTCCTTGCTACCCCAGCTTACGCTGTAAGGAGTCAACACCATACTCCTAGCTCACCCTCAGCTAGGATTCTCCTGTTTCGGGGTTTCCTTCTCTCATTTAAGCTGCCACCATCTATTATATGTCCTCTCTATTGTGGGAACTACCCCCTGGCCTATAGTGATAGCTCCCTCTTGACAACTCCTCATGTAGTCTACAGGTAGCAACGTATTATGTTATTATTACGTTTTAAGGGGGCGTTGCTATCAAGGCTACTAAACTCTGCCTGTGTGGCAGGAGCCTATCCCTGTCTATTCCTAGCACCTCTCCTTAAGCATTCAGCTGCTGTTGCAACTCTCCTTTTGGGTAGGGTCTGCTGGTTGGATCGTGGAAAGGTGATTATGGGGTGTGAATCACAATCCCGGTACGTCCTATCCTATCTATCTACTCTGTCTATTTACACTCTTATATATACATGATTTACAATATTTACATTATTAACAAGGCCGACTTTCAGTCGGGTCTACATAGGCTTCACTTCACGCTAACCATAACCTTGACACATACACTATAAACCCTTCGTGCCTGACTAACATCCTAGGCAATTACATGATTCTCGTATCCTCCCCTAAGGGTTCGCCGGGCACACTGGAGATTGCACATTAAAATCACTCAACAACACTTTGATCAACAATACTATTAAACAACATTGCTGATATGAGTAAAGAAACTTACTTGTAGTACAAGATGCAGGCCCACTGCCTCCGCTCGTAAGGCCCATGTTGAAGAGAGCCTTCGGCTGACAACTCAATATTCTCTGTTAGATTCGAATCCCAAGTCTCTCGAAATTCCGTAATTTATAGTTTTAATTTGCTAATTCAGCTGTTGACGACAGAGGGTAGTTAACTCCTCCCTTGTGTTCTAAATTCCTAAAGTTATGTTCTAATTGGTTATTCTCGGTGGTTGTGGGAGGGCCTATGGCGTCTCATCGCTGTGTAATTAATAACATCGTTACCTTCAGTGGCCGAGTGAGGCAAGCTTCTTGCTAGGGCGATNTGATCAACAATACTATTAAACAACATTGCTGATATGAGTAAAGAAACTTACTTGTAGTACAAGATGCAGGCCCACTGCCTCCGCTCGTAAGGCCCATGTTGAAGAGAGCCTTCGGCTGACAACTCAATATTCTCTGTTAGATTCGAATCCCAAGTCTCTCGAAATTCCGTAATTTATAGTTTTAATTTGCTAATTCAGCTGTTGACGACAGAGGGTAGTTAACTCCTCCCTTGTGTTCTAAATTCCTAAAGTTATGTTCTAATTGGTTATTCTCGGTGGTTGTGGGAGGGCCTATGGCGTCTCATCGCTGTGTAATTAATAACATCGTTACCTTCAGTGGCCGAGTGAGGCAAGCTTCTTGCTAGGGCGATTACGCATGAATGCTGATCCTCAACATTCTTACCCTAGTTGCCTGTCCAGGTGTTGTCATCTTTGCTCTTTCACTGCAAAACACTTTTCGCAAGTCTCCAGACACTTAGGTAATGACTTAAATTCCCAATCCCAAATTTGAGCCACTACAATGGAAATATGTTCACCAACAATAAACCCAACCACTCAACTTGACGCTGCTTGCCACACTGATTCAAGAAGGATGTATGAGGGAGACCCAGCGGTATTTTGATGTACTCATAACCATTCGCGCGCAAAATTCAAATTTTGGAAACTTTTGGATTGCCCCACATATGAAGGTAAAGTTAACTTCGTGAAATTACCTTCAATTTGAATTGATTGGTGCTTAAACCTGATTTTCGAAAATGCCACCGTCGGCCACAAGACAGGCTTCCACTTGGTCGTCAACCGCGCGAGTAGCACGTAGCAGCTTCAGCTGGCTGTTTTTATGTGGTCAGCGGCGTCCAGAATGTGACCAAACAAAGCATCTTGCGTTGCCACCTTCACATTGTAAACCAGTTCTTTCATCCATCCCCACACACAATAATCCAGTGGGCTTAAGTGTGGAGACCTAGCTGGCAATTCTTCGCATACTCGTACATGGACTGCAGTGTACCATACCAACAATGCCTTCTTCATTGATGTCTTCATTAACACCATGCTTGACTGCAATACGAACGCCGGGAAGTCTACCGGTATCTCGCAATGCCTGGTAAACTCCAGTAAACACTCCGGTTCGGTGTTCTACGATTCGGAAACCATTGATGATATTCAGCTATGGTAAGAACTGAGTTACTGTCATAAAACCCATACACATAAATCATATCTGCATACTCCTCAAATGAAACTGTAAATGGCACCGTGAACGTAACAGACGCACCGAGATGAGACCTATTCTGAACACCAGTAGTCGTCACACTAGCCGTGGCCAGACATACCAACCCACCACTCCTTAGGTACCTCTCAAGTGTCAAGATAACGAGAATGCTCTGACTGTAGCTGGCTACAATTAGCGACCTGCCAGATGATAGACGCAGTTCACATGAGGGCGTGTACGGGAATGAAAAAATGGTCATAACTCCGTAACTGTCCAAAATCGGACACATGTTTATACGAACCTTTTTTGATCACAAAGACTAGGAAATCACCTCCTACAGTTATGCCCTAAAGTCGTGAAACATCCTGTATATAGGCTGAAATTAAACTACAGTATTTCCTGTCACTATGAACCCACAGAAAACAGATCGCACTCTGTATCTCAGTCACAATGCAACTGTCTGTTCACGACCATAGAAAGGGCAATAATCTCTTGCATCTATAACAGAAGGTCTTAGCACTGAAGAAGGGACCCCTCTAGCTCTACATGATCATTTCCTGAAATGTGACACTTGAAATCTCAAATTGCTACTGTGGTCATGCAAATCAAATTAATGACTGCTGTGAAAGCGTGAAATTTGCTGCAACTTACATATCCATGGGGCATATGTTTTGTGTCAGTTGCATATTTCTTTATACAATTTAACCAATGTTGAGAAAATTGGCATAGTTTGAGCATAGTGAATTGCCTGTAATCATAAATGGTAGAAGTACTGATATGCTGTAAAGATCTTTAAAATGTCTGTGGTCACTTAAATGCACATTTTACATTTTCTTGTAATCACACTGCAGCCGAGTGTGATTAAAATATAAAAGTATTTGTACACATCTCTTATTTATTCTTAAATTATGGTATTACATGCGAGAACTTGTTTTGTGTGTGGCATGCATGTGCCTTGTTACCTTGAGCATTGACTATGAGATCTGTAGGTTTCATAAGGCAAAATTATGGTACTGGATATTTTTTTAAAACTTTTTAACAGTGTATTTCTGTTTTGATAGCTGTTTCCTGTTGTTGCTTCTTGTGGCTGCCATCCTCTGGAAGATCAAGCAGAAGTATGACATGTACAGGCGGCGCCAAGTAAGCACTTCAGATACATGTTTCTGTGGAAACTGTTATTCTCAATTTAGAATTTGAAATGAAGTGAATATACTCTTGTATATCATTAGTTTCTGATAATAGATTAAATTCACCTTTCTCTGTTTGAGGAGTTCCCAGTGGCTTAGAGCCAGTCACTCACTAGCCCAACTAATAATTAAAATACTCATATTTATCTCATCATAATAATGAAGAAGTTCAGTAACCCTAAGCAATTAGTGCTTATCTGTAGCTGCAGTGAATCACAGTTTCTCTTACTTGGTAGTACATAATATAGTCATTCTCCTAGAACATCTTAAGGAACTTGTATAATAAATAAATGTATACTTTTTCTTCAGAGGCTGTTTGTGGAGATGGAACAAATGGCCAGTAGACCATTTTCACAGGTTCTAGTGGAGATTGAATTGCGGGAAAAGGTAGACCTCTGTTCAAATACAAATCCTGCAACCCTCAGAAAAAGGAAAAAGGTGAGTTAAGGAATGGGTATTTATTATGTCTGTAGTAGGGGCTATGCCATAGTTCAGGTGGTTAATCTCTGGCTTCCCAGAATGGCAGTCTTGGTTCAGTTCAAAGTCAGCTCATGTGGGATTAGTGTTTGGCAGTGTGGCAGAGGGGCAGGTTTTCTCTGAGTAGCTCCATTTATCCCGATGAGGTCTCTGGGTTTTTCAGTTGACCTAATCCTTCCAGTTGTACTATGGCCCTTGGCAGTGGCGTGCCGTGCATGGAAGCAGGGGAAGCATTGCTTCTGTAGTTAAGAAACGAAAAGAAAAGAAGTCATATATAAATAATTCAATTTGAATAATAAGGATTTGAATATTGTCATTTAGAGCGTGTTCCTGCCCAAGGCCACATGCCTCCGCCTCGTCCTACCTTACCCTGCTTGCTGGGAGGGACCAAGTTTCCTTTGTTAAACTCTGTAAGAATTCGTGTCACAAAATGGGTACGGAAGCAACTTTCGTTTTGCTGGCTAATGCCTGTGATACGGAAGCGAAGGACTGTGGTCTTTCAATGGTTATATGAAAATTAACTGTTTATGTGTGATTTCAGTATTGTTGGGTGTTATAGGTAACATTAAGTTTTATTAAAATGTTATAAGTGCATATTTAGATGGTGTAAGATTGTATTTGTGATCGTATTTTGGTGCATCAGATAAAAGCTATCTGTGTTTAAGGGAAGCAAGTCTGATATTGCAGTAAGAGGGGCAGGGGCATGAATAGAGTACACGCACAGGCCTCAGCTAAAATGAATGCTGGCAGACAATGTGACTGCGACTGTGCAATTGAAAGCCTTTTAAAATGGGGGTTTAATATCAGGGACTTTTCTGAAAGAAAATAATTGTAGAAAGAGGACGACCGACATGAGAGTTGCCAGAACTTAAAGCACAAACCAAATTATGTGTAAGGGAATTTAATTTGGAACAGTATTCTAAAACAGAGTGGCTGTCTGGTTGCTGTAATATAGGAAAATTGTTTTGTTGGCCATACCTATTGTTTCTCAACGAAAAAAATATATGGAACAAGACTGGGTTTGGTGATATCAGCAACCTTCATAAAGCCTTGAAACGACATGAGAAATCTCAGACTCACATTATTTCAACAATGCAACTTGTTATGTTCGGGAAATCTCGAATTGACTGTCAACTTGACAATCAGAAGCGCCTGACGATACTACAGCATAATGAAAATGTGAAAGAAAACAGAGAAATAATGAAACGATTGATACCATCTGCCATTTAGGAAAGTGGCAACTTGGCCTCCGTGGTCATGACGAAAGCATGGATTCTATCGACTGAGGTAATTATGTGGAATTGGTTCACTTGTTAAGGAAATATGATCATAAACTCAATGTTCACCTTGAGAATAGTATAGTATTTACGGGTTTATCGAACAGAATACAAAATGACCTTATTGACTCAAAAAGTGACGTAAATTTGGTGAGTTGATTGCTATCAGTTCGTTTATTAGATACCACTGCTTCCCTTACCAAAAATAGTACCTCACACCACTGGCCGTTGGTCAACTTAGCCTGTAACAAATGAGTATCAGGAATTTTCCTTGGGTGTAAAAGGGCGGCCAGTGTGTAAGGCTGACAAATTTACTGCCATCTATGAGCCAACTGTCTAGAAGATGTTTAATCCTTGACATCTCACACCCATATGGGCCTTCATGGCCTGTTACAGAAACAGCGTTATCTTTTTAGTTCCATTTCTCCTGCCAGTTCCCATTCCATCAGCTTCTCCACATTAATCAATTATCCTGTCATGAATGATATATAGCCTTGATACAGACAGCATTGTTAAATAGCCAACTTATATAACCTACCTCTACCTTCATACTCACAAACAGTAGAAAGTACACTGAAGCCATGAAGTCACATGGATGGCAGGGTTGATAGCAGTACTTGAGGCTTTCTGCACTCTGTCTACTGCTGTATTCTCCTCCTGGCCTCTCTGGCCTATGTCAGCCAAGCCAAAGAGATCACTATCAAAGGTCATGATGAGGTTATCACCACCCACATTCTTGTGACTGAACAGGTTGGTCTAGCAGTAACACTCTTAGGTCGAAGGCACACCAAGGAAACTGGCAACTGCAATGCAACCGCTATTTCCAAGAATCGTTATCAGCCTGAGTTGAACACACATTACTGAATGGAGCAGCGAAAATTGAGGAAACAGCAACACAGTTGCAGTTGCCAGTTTCCTTGGTGTGCCCTCAGCCTTAGTCTCGTATTTTTGTATTTGGGAGGTGCCTGTTCGAATCTCGGCTGGCACACTGGATATCCTCACTGGTTTTTTTTGTGGTTTTCCCCAGTCCTTTAAGGCAGATGTCAAGATAGTATCTTGAATAGGCCCAGACTGCTTCCTTCCAAATCTTTTTCCAGTTTATCGTTCATCAGTGTTTCTATCATTGGACATTACATAGTCTTGATGCTGACAGTGTCATTATATAATCAACAAAAAATAACATTAAGTGAAGAGGATGGCTAGATGACTGGAGGGGAACATAGGATATTATCCTGGAAGGGGAAACAGTACTTCCTCCTGTGATTTCAGTATAGGGAAATGCAGCAGTGGAATGTCAGTGTGTAAAGTCCCGTACCTAGTTTTCATCCTGCTGTTTTGAAAGACCAAGTTATTTGTTAATAAAAGCTTACAGTACCAGGCCTCAGCAGATCTTAGGTCGCCATAATGTGAAATATTTTAGAATTTGTGATTTGTAGTTCTGATTCAATTATGTGGGTGACAGGTTTCATTAAAAACAATTAAAATTCTCCGTATTGTGTTCCCATAATGGATTTGACTTTAGTCACACTATTTACAAAAATCACATGTTATTCAAAATTTTGTCAGGAGTAAAAATGCGGTTTCTCTCCCCCCTCCCCCACCAAAAATTCTTGTATGAAAGTATGGGTGTATTAATTGTGCAGATAAATGTGCTGATTCTGAAATTGAAGTAGAAACTATTCAACATGTCCTTAATCTCCCATGTTAAATTTCTGTAAAAAAGGTTATGGAATAATCACTGACTACTAGTAATTTATTTCTGAAGAGGTTTGTTTTCAGCATGGCTCCTGGATGTATAGGAAATTCATTCAGCCCAGTGTTTGTCATAAAATGAAGCACTTGAATATCATATTACCTTGCAGTGGAAGTGTGGTGTGCATATAAAGGTGTTGAAATTCATTTATTATAGGACTCGCCTAGTCCTATTGCTCTGGAACCATGTTGTGGGAACCGAGCTGCTGTCCTGTCTCTTCTTATTCGACTGCCAACAGGTGGTGAGGTGTTCACCCCATCAGGACAATCAGGTGAATGAATGTAGTCTCGTAATCAACATTCACAGATACACTTTTCTTGTTGTGTAAATTATTTAATTCTTGTCGTTACAAACTCTAACCAGCATCAATAAAAGTCTTGTGTGAGCACAAATTTTTTGTGACATTGAACCTTTTTGCACCATAAATAAATAAGTTATTATAATAGACAAATATTGGTCATTACTCATCAGTTTCAGCTGTACTATTAGAAAATACAAAATATGTTATATCAGATACATAGTTGAGATCATTGGAACAAGCTATTTGTATTTGTATTTTATGACACGTTTTCATATTGATTGCATAAAAATGGACTGCGCAGTTAACAGCCGTATACCTTGAGTCTTGAGAGTTTTTGTATACTGAGATTATGTTCATATATAAATCTGATTTACCTGTGAGGTGTATATCAGTTCCAGTGTTTTCTTATATAATTAACACCTTTACTGCTACTCTTGGTATGTCCTGACTTGCCATATGTTGTGCGATGTCATTAAGCCTAGATCTTTAAGTTACTGTACCTTTTCCTGCCTTTGACGTTAATATTAACAACAACAGAGTGTACATACTTTGCTACCTTTAACAAACATGTTGATATATTAGTGCAACTCTTATTAGCCGATGGTAAGTTTGTCCTTGTCATGGTGGCAGAAGGACACTTTATGTCCATGTTGAAACTGACTTGTAGAACATTCCTTAGAAGGACAGATGTTAAGAGAGGGTGAAGGAGTACTTTCTTCTGGGGTGTGACTCTGTTTAATCTGGTAGAAGCTTTTCAGGAGGAATGTGCTTGCCACCATCTTCAGGGTCAAAGAGTAAACCAAGCAAGCAACTCTGCTTGGCTTAGTCTTCAATCATGAGGATGGGGCAGTTTGTTCCTGTGAAGTGTCAGTGCACTTTCAGCAGCCTGCACAATATGCCATTCCAGAAGATAACCACCTCGTGAGAACCTCAGATCTCACGAAAATAGAATTAATAGTTGTTTTCTAAATGTGTTCATTTTTTATGATTATTTCTTAACTGTCTCAAGAAGCAAAATTTTAGTATTCTGTGGACATTCTCACCAGTGAGCCCTAAACTAAGCAGTTGGATCTTTGTAAATTCTCATTACTTTATGGTCAAATGAAGTGAGGTAACAATGCTGACTGGGATTTCTGACATATTCTTTTGATAAAATAAATGTGTCTTGTTTACAAATTTTACTGTTTGTAAGGCATTCCACGTTATCTCTTAGATGCTTTAAAGAGAGGGCACACCTACTTGTATAACTACTTAGGCCATAAATATTAATTTTTAATTTGATTACTCGGATTGTGATTGGAATGAGACAGGTATTTGTCATGTGTGGAGTTCTTGAATTCAACAGTGTTTGATATGTCACAGAAAATATTTTATGAAGTAATAATTCTAAACTACAAATTATAGAAGTGCAGAACAGATTTTGTTGTGTCAAGTTTCATACCACGTTACAGTTTTATGTTTGACATTCCTTATGGTAAAGGAACTGGAACAGTATATGTTGGTATAGTTGAACCAGTTTTCTTTTTTGTACTGTCTTCTCCCTGGGATGAATTGGTATATGCTATTCTGTGAGCTGAGTTATGCTTTAATATTTGATAGTGACTACTCTAAACCTGAACCGCTCTCTCTTTGCCATTGATCTTTGCCAGAATAAATGCATATGACAGTAGCATTCACATTAAGTGAAGCTGTACTTTGCAATGTCTGGACTTTTGGTGCTTTGATGTTATGTTCATAATTAAATAGTTATGCTCCTCTGTGTTGTAAGCATTAAGATTTAGAATTGAATTAATATATTTAAGTACATTTCTGGGGGACTGACAACATTTATTTCCATTCTTAATGTACAAAAGATATCAGATAAGGGATGCAGGAGTGGGTGATCCCTTTAACTGAATAAATCTTGATAGTATGGCCAGAAAGTAAATTTGTATAGCTTTTAATCTGTAAACTAACAACTCACAATGATGCTGCATGTAGGTATAAAGGAAAAGTTTTTAATAATTGTTGGTAACAATTTGGTGTGTTCTGTGCCAAGTCATGAGTATTATGTGTACAAGTAATTCTGACAAGACAGGTTTACAGGAACAGTGATCCAATAAAGGAGCCTGTGCAACTGTTCACAGTAAAACTTCTGCAGTAGTTCAAGTCAGATATCTTAGAAATCCCAGCCATACTATGACATCTAGTGAATATCACCTTATTCTCATGTGGCAGACACATTTGCAGGGCCTCAGATTTGAAACTTGACATGGAAACAACAGTAAAACAGTACATTGACTTATATTGACAGGGGACAGAAAACTCATTGTGTGATGTGACCAGTGTCCCTGTCTTCATGTGGCCTATGTAAAAATCTAATGTATCAGTCATACAGTGACATAGTATTCATACTGAAAGGTGAATGTGTCACTTCTAGTTATATGCCTTATGTAATTATTTTCCAATCTGTTGTATGCAGTTATTGAAGTTATTACTGATTCTAATTATATGTAGATGACACTGAAGTGCTGGTATTTTATTTTCTCATACCAGGTCTGGCAATAGCATCAGCACTGGTGACTCTGGGTAACCCTCGAAAAGTCAGCATTGACCCTACAGGCAAAGCAGATACAAAGTGCAAGTCCCGTAAGTCATCCAGCCAGCACCCAGAGAGTTGTATCTAGTGTATAATATTGTTCAGTGCAGCTCCTTATCCCCTGTTATAAAGTGAGCAAATTGTGTGCATTACAACATAAAATTAATTACTTCATCAATCCTCCTGTATGTCACACGTTGTATGCATGCAAATTGATATCTGAGGTCCATCTTTGTCATGAAATATTTCCATTACCACATAAATTCATTTATAAAATGCCCTGCTTCTGATCAAAATTTATTGAAATATTGTCAGCTTAAAATACTTCTGTTACTTTAGGAGCCAGGATAGCATAGCAGGTATAGCAAGTGGCTACGTGCTGGGCAACAAGGGGTTGGAGTTCAAGTCATGGTAGGGGTAAGAATTTTCACTTCTCCGCATCATCCAGACTGGCTCTGGGGTCCACCCAACCTCCTATCCAATGGGTACCAGAGACTCTTTCCCCAGGTGTAAAGTGGCCAGGGGGCTAGTGCCTAGGTCAATAAAATGTGGATCTATACATCCACTCCCCCACACGCCTTCATGGCATAGTGCTTAATTAGTTAAGCACGGGGACAGCTTTACCTTTTACAGAATACTGTTTATCATTAACATTAAAGGACCCAGTTGCTTACATTAGAATGTTCAAAATTGTAGTATGCATGCTAATCTACAAAACTGTGTTTAGCATTAAGAACTGTGGTTCTACAAAAGAATTTAGTGTCAGTTAATTTGAAGATTGCATATTGATATGGACTGCCATAATCCAATCACTCTCTAGTCCATATTCAAACAATGGTTAACTTGCACATGAAGGATGTAACAGTATATACTTCAGAGTATATAATATGTTATCCTTGAATTAGAATATTAAAAAAAATTTTTGTAATTTGTTCTTAGATGCCAAAGAGAGTTCCTTGTTTGTTGATCAAAGATTTTTTAGAAATTATAAGTTATAGTTCCATAATAATGGAAATACTGTAATTGTAAATTTGCATGTTGTAATGCATATAATAGTGATTGTACATGTGGATCTAATCTTCTTGACCTGTCTATGTGAGTGACAATGTAAAATATTAGACACCAAGTCAAGACTCTTGAAAATGTAATATATGAAAAGTTGCCTTCAATTAATATTTAATTTTAACCCTTTGGATGCCACAAGCTCAGGGTGCTTGAGTTAAAACCACCATAGCTGAAGGGATCAGTTTCTTAATCAGATAATACAGCATTTCATTACATAGCCTCAAATGTGACATATCAGTGTTAGATGATAGAACGGCCTTTCACTTGATCCATACCTGCAACCATTTGAAGATCATTTGAGGACATATTTTGGGTTTTCTGTGCACTGTATTTACCCCCAGGCAGCCATGGCATTTATAGCAGATAGTTCTATGGCAGGGCTTGGCAGTCAAAGGGTTAAAATAGATTTCTTTATATGTAAGTTTTAACAAAGTTGTTTTGTAAGCTAGCAATATTTATTACATCTGTGGTTTTATTACAGCTATGGATGTCAGTCAATTTTAGTTTTCAGTGTAATTGTCCACTAAATGAACAAGTAAAGAATCACATCAGTAGCACTTGGCTGTCTGAGGTTTGTTGTACTAACATTTGTGTGAAGTTCATGCATCCTGTCTAGTCTAATGTGCTGGGATGTAAGTGTATTTCACTTTAAAGCAAAAGTATTAATCTTGGACGGATCCAAATTGCATGATTGCAAATCCAGAATATTTACTTTTCATGTGACTGGGAATAATAAACTTATTATAGGATTATTTTAAAATATGAGAATTAATGAGTCCGTCTTATTACAAACCAGTCTTTCTTTATTATTTATGACATATTTTGAGTGAGAAATAATGATGTTCAGGCTGCCATTTTGTGGTTGTAATATAAGTTGACACAGGGTGTTAGTTTAGAATGAACGATAAACATCATGTCTTCAACAGGTAATGTTAACTCACAGAAATAAAAAAAAGAAATTAAATACCATGAAGTATATATGTGTGGTGCGTATAGGTATGTATGTGTGTATATTTTAGTGCTGTCAGTAAAATTCAAAATCTAATTAAATGAATTAATCAGATAAACTTGTTAATAGAAACATTTTATCACAAAGAGTACCAGTGAAATTTTTATGTAAGATCTGAAGCTTTTGCCATGAATAAACATACTGAAATCTTGTTGAGTGATTGGCCATATCATGGTTGATGTATGAATTAGTCATGATGTGGCTGATCACCTGAGCTGTAGTGCAATCAGCTCTTTAATGTGTGAGTAATACAACCCCCCCCCATTTTAAATCAGAAATTATGAAATGTACCTAAACACAGTGCTCTGATAATGTTACTTGTTATGAGTATTTACATTAGACTCTGCTATTTATTAAGAGCCTGACACACAGTATGTTAAACAAGATATGAAAGTATTACTTGCTAGAGTTTTTATAAGTTACAGTTTTGTTTGCAATGCCATTGTTACAACACCTTTATGCCATCTTCAAGAATACATAAAGCATTAAACTCATATCTTCTCATATCATCTGAAACTGGCGAATGAATTTTGTAAGTTCAGTAACAATGATTTAATTGGTTAACTAGCCTGTTAGTCAGTCATGGCAGTCACAAACAATGAAATACATTATCATGTGTTAGTGACTAGACATAGAGTTTGAATTGAATATTGATTTTATTGATTTGCTTACTACATGTAACTACAAATAGCTACAACACTAACACTAATCTGCATGATCCACAAATAACCACAGTTGCAAGCAACTGCTATTTCTTTACCAATCATATCTTGGCTGTGGCTTCTAACAATGTAAATGCCTGTGTTTCAGTTCCCAGTGGCTCACAACTAACCACTGATGGCCAACTGCATTCCTGCATAAGGTCATGTAAATTGCTGCTGGACCTTACCAGCACACTCACTCTTGGTTCCATATCATATCATAACACACTTTGTAGAGAGAAGAACAAACACTATGTGAGCAGTTATATGATGGCTTACAAGGCAGTGATTTATGTGATGCTACCTCGCATGTGTGGGCTCTCCCCACTTTTACATTAGTTGCCTTAAATAAGCAGAAGTTACTTTCTGAATTTCCCTCTTATATATGGATAGTTGGAACTCTTTGTCAGGTTGACCTTTTTATGTTTTACCTAGATTGTATTCCACACAAAAGACAAATTGTTAAGAAAATTATAAATTCTCCAGCATGTTATTCCAATAAATTATTATGCAGGATAGATCTGAATATATATTACAGCAATTTTATCTGTAGATTTGTGTAAATGGATGGGAAGAAGAGACAGAGGGGAATATGATACAAGTGTTTTGTGTGCCTGAAGTTGTAGTAAGTGTGATCGCATGATTGAGAACTGCTGCATCAAGCATTTAGACATAAATACAGTGTTATCGCCAAAGTTTTATATTCGTAATTATAATATTGTTGGACTCATATATGGTGAATGAATGATATTCCCACTCTAAATGAAACCTAGATTTTAGTTTAAGTTAGTATTTAGGGTTGTCACAGTTCTCTTCAGTGTTGCAACCATTGGTAATGAATAACCAACATTGACTGATTATCCATAGTTTTAATATTTATGAGCAATTGCATTTAGAAGTCTTATGCTTGCTTCTAATTAAGGGAAGATAAAGCAATCACTGGACAAATTGCAGCTTGAAATGTGATGGAGATGTAGCAAGGTGCATTGGCTTATTTTTGCCTTGTCCATTATATTGTTCTCTCTTTTGTTTCATATTTTTTCCCACTGGACTGGGTGTAGGTTTGGTGACAGACACTTGAAAGTGCCAAAGACTGTGAAGACTCATTTCAGTGGGACACTGCCGAGCAAGGGAATTAACTGAAGCAATATGTGCAAGCATGAAGAGGTGGCTTCAGTTGGACTGCCAAACATTCCCTTAGGAGTTCCAGCACCTTGCATTCTACTGTATAGGCCTAAGCTTAAGAAGTGTGTGCAAATGCAAGTTTGGAGAAGTTCCTCCTATGTGTTATAGACTGATATTTTGTATTACATAGAGGTGGGATGTATTTATAATGAACATTGTAATGGGGTTAGATTGGGTTTGTTATCAATGTTATGACATGCAGAACACTTGCTAGTGCTGCAAAGTGTTTCGCAAGTTTCAGTTCACTCTCTTTACACTCAGTGAAATTATGTCTTGAATATGGAAAGCTTTGCAACATCAGCTTCTTTAACATTGTTATGTCGGATGTGGCATGTACATATTACACTAATTAGTTCTCATTTATAAAATGGAGAAGCATGCAAAAGCCTGCTGCCAGTTGTATCTAGTCGTCCTTCGTCATCTTCTCATCATTGTGTGACAGTGTAACGATTTTTTTAATGGATAAAATTAAAGAAAGAGATTTTGTTTTTCATTGACATGTACTTACTTAGTTTAAGGAATTGCAGTGATATATAACATGCTGTTAAATATTTATTTGAACCGTAATATCACTCATTGGTTTGCATTAAACTCTTGCTCATTATTTGTCTTACATTGCGTTGCTGTTTGGATTGTTCATCTTGAACGTTTTACAGTCTCCTGTGAAGTACAGCCATTTGGGATAAATGAATTTAAAAGTGTTTTTCTGCTACCAAGATGTATGGATTGAATTATGCCCCAGTGGCACGGAAGAGTTTGCTGTATTAATCTGTGTGACGTGGCTATAAAGTTATGACACCAACTTAGAAAAACAACATATTATTCACTAAAAGACATTCCAGTTTTAATATTTTTTTTTTTTTTACTAAAATGTCTGATAATCATTGTGCATGATATCACTGTGAGTCTGCCGTTTCTAGTGGCAACTTTATGAAGCAGTACTGAACAAAATGACATATACAACAGAAAAGAATGTGATTCTAGTGAAAACACCTAACCAGACTTCAAGTGTTATTCATGTTTAGAGTGAATTTTTAGTAAAACTTTATTGCAGGAAGGATTCAAGCAGGTCCATAATAGATATGTTATTTAATACGGTTCAAATGAGTGGATTCATGGTTGGCAACAGGAAGGGTATTGGGCAGGTGAAAAGAAAGGAATCCAGACACCAGAAAACACTCTTCATACAGTTTAAAGTCACCTACAGGGCATGGGCGACAATTTGTGTTCATAAAAGGAAGAGTCAGTAAGTAGGTCACAAATGGATATAAAATGTAAAACGTGCTATTCGAACCTGGAAGAAACATTTATTTCTCAACATATCCTCAGCCAATGTTGATGCACTTGTCCCATAGCTTTACAAGTGCATTGAAACCCACAGCATAGAAGTATTTCGACTGTTGTCTGAGCCACTTCCCCACCTCCATTTCAACCTCTTTGTTATCAGTGAAATGTTTCCCACCAAGGTGGTTTTTAGCAGACCAAACATGTGGAAGTCACTAGGGTCCAAGTCTTGGCTGCAAGGTGGATGTTCATGAAGTTCCCACTGTAGTTCTTGAATTCTGCCCAGGGTTGCTTGGGCTGTATGGGGTTGACATTGTCATGATGAAGCAGTACCCTTCTTGCCAGTTGGCCTGGACATTTTGTGTTTTCTGTGAATTGCATTCTGAAGCTTCAACAGAACTTCACAGAATGATGCAGAATTCACATTTTCACCATGCTTCTGAAGATGGGCTAACAGTACTCCCTGAGACCAAAATCGCTGTGAACATAACTTTCCCAGCTGGTGGCTTAACCTAAACTTTGAGCTTTGTGGTTGAAGGTGAACTTGGATGTTTCCATTGCATTAAAGCATGCTGTGATTTGTGTTGGTAGTGATGCATCCGTGATTCATCCTCAGTAATAATCCCTTGAAGCATACTTCATCATCTGTATACTGTAAGAGGTATTGCAAGGACAGACCCATTTGTTTCATTTTTCTCGATCATTCAGTTCTTGGGGCACCCCCTGTGTGCACACTTTCTGAGACTTTAAGCAATCATACATTATTTTGTATGCTAAAGTATGGGAATACACTAGTGCAGTTGTTATGCTGTCTATTGTTATCCCCCTGTCAACTTGAATCAACCCTTCCACCCACTGCTTAGTTGCTTCTGTTGCAATAATCAACAGGGTAACCTGATTGGGTATCATCTGTGCCTTTTGAGTGTCCTAGTTTCTCGACCCAGTTGTGAACCACTTTACATGACAAATGCTTCCCACTGTAAACAGAAAACATGCTTCTCTTTATGAATGTCCTTTGCATCGACTCTGTTTTTGGCCACAAGAAATGCACAACAGAACACTGCTCTTTGGTATTACACCCCTCAAACACATTTGCCATTTTGACTGCTGAAACCATCCTCTGAACACACACATGCACATCTGATACCTAGACTGTCATGAAGCTGAACTCTGCAGCTACATAGTGTTACACACAGAAAACCTATTAGATCCAGTACAGTTGTTTACTTCCATTTGTGACCTATTTACTTACTCTCTCTCATACATGTGGCAAATGAAACAGGATTTGGGCTGAATGTGAAACTTTTGTTCCTGTCCAAAAAGTACATTGCTGTTGCCCATGGTGAAATACATAGTGATTGCTGTTAAAAGTATTTTGTTGAGTAATTTTATGGACAAAGCATCTGTCCAAATCAGAAAGAAGGAAAATCTTCCTACACAATGATGGAGGAAAAAGAATTTCCAAGAGTGAATTACAACACATAATATGCCTTTGAAAGAGATGTGTTGAAGAAAGAGTTGATAGATCTTGTGAATAGTGTCCATTGATAATATGGCATGCATAATATTGATGAAAAAGAGAGGTCATAGGACGTACAGCTCAGTTACCCCCATGTCACTGTGAGCAGCATTGTTTATGCCTGAGAGTAACACACTATTTAAGAAACTGTACGCGTAAGTGTAGGGAAATAGAACAAATACGTTGAATATGTCAGGGAAATATAAACTGCAGTGTGAAAAGTAGACATAATTTAAAACATCATGGAGCCCATTATCATCTGATAGGTGATGAGGGTGTATTTGATAATTCAACCAATGAGGGTCCTGATTGTCACTAACATCAGTGATGGAGGTGATGAAAGCAATGTGGAAACAAAGACATAATAAAGGTGTAGAATGCCTGGAGCAAGTACTCCATTTCCTCCATCTTTGGGAGTTGCTGAGTTTCTTGACTTTGTTCATTGTCTGCTATTCTAAAAGAAGATTTCAGAAACTGAATCTGTTTTCAATCTAAAATGAAAGGGTGGGGGACTTAACTCAGTTTTTATATTTCTCATTTACAGAATTTGATCCCAAGTGCATGTATTAGATGTAATTCAGTTACTTAGGTTGTCCAATGATTGTGATTAGCTCTTTTGGACCACACTTAGTAGCTGCCTTTCTACGTTTTCCCCTGAGGATGGAAACTGATCCAGTTTCTGAAATATCGTGATCTCTCAGACTACTAGACAATGGAGAGAGACCAAAAACTCAGTAATCCCTAGTAACACACTCCTTAGAATTGTTGCCATCTCTGTAATTAATACTGCTATATGTGAACAGGAGAATGACTCAGAAATGAATTGTACAGGTAAGTTATGCATTACTGTGTATTCCCATTTCTCCACATAACAGCAATCTACCACCTCAGATGGACAATGAAATGAGAGAGACCAGTTTCAAATGATTGTGCCACCATAACTTGTTGCTTCACTGTACCCACACTGCCTTCATTCTGCTTTTAATATAAGGGGTGTCAGAAGGTAAGTTTACAAGGTGTATGGAATGAAGGGACCAGCACTTACTGTGGATATGTCACAGGGATTTGTTAATCATTGGTGGTAATAATGCATGTTTATTTTCCCACTGTCTGCCACTTATAATGTGTCAAGATTAGTTGAACAGGACATTACATCACTGCAGATGCTTACTGAGTGATGTGAAAGAATAGTTATGGACAGTATGGTATGAAAAGCAGGATGAAACTGGTAGTGTCCTCTTTCAAGGGGCACAGAGAACTTCAGTTTTTATGGCTAAGACTGGAACATATTCTTTTCAAGCACACTTCCCTTTAGAGCTGAGCTAAATTTCCATTATTGTACTTCATAATTCCATCATTATTTTGTTTCTTTTATGGTTAGTGAGGATTTTACATTCCATTTATTTCAACTAATCTTGTCAGACATCCATAAATTGTAGCCATATAGGTTGGTCATACATCATTTTCTGTTTTAGAAATATGCAGTTAGAATTAAAATTTACAGGATTGTGTGTTTAATAAAGCTATTGCCATCCTAATGAGGATCATGTAACCAATTCTTCTTTGTCTTTCTATTAATGTGGATATTGGTGAACTTTGTAGACAATTTTGAATTAAACAAGGATATACCCCACGTGCATCACATAAAGGTACATGACCTGATTCATTGTTTTCATGAACAAAGAAGTTTATACAACTTTCTAAAAGTAAGCCTCACCTCACTATAAAGATATCAGAATGTCAAGTTACGGGTTTCTATTTTAATACAGAATTCCAAAAATGTGCCTCGTACTACATATTGGGAAAATGGATTAGTAATATATTTCACCTACACTGTTTATAGTATTTTATAAAATATGTCTGTTATTACTGGCCCAGTAGATAGCACTGTAGCAGTATATACAGGGTCATCACTGAAAATGCAGTGTCTGAGTACATAACATGTCTTCACATGTATAATAGTAGTAGTAATTATCACAAGTTTCATTGTTTTGAACACGTCTGTCAAACCCCTACCTATAATGTGCAGCTGTTTCATTAGAGGTGGTCAGTGACTGCAATACTGAACATCAAAACATCCCTGAAAACTCATAGGTGTTCCTGACACACAGGCGCATTAATGACATGATGATTCAGATATTAGACTTACTATTATTATTTTACAAACTTTATTACTAAAAGTAAGGTAACGAGAGGTTACTGTCTGGCTTAAGCTGTATATGCTGCGTTTCATCGGTAGACTGAAAGTGGACTGCATAGATCATATAAATCTAGCAGTGAGATTAAGGTTGGTGAGTGGAGTGTGGTGCTATGCTATGCAATGCAAAGGGGCAATGTTGTTAAGGAGAAGAGTTGATAAAGAATTTGAACAACATTGCTTTAATCAAGATTTGTTGTCACTTTCAGAGTAATCTGAACATGCAGATTATGTTGTAGCCTAATTTATACAAGCAATTAATGTGCCCACAAACGTTTATGTATTGTGCTTATTTTAATGCTTTATAGATCAAATAGTACCCCAAGAAAATAATATAAAATGTTATTTGGAAATCGTTAGGGATGAAACAACATTTGAGATCTGGTCATAGGCAGAACTCTTGGAAACGGACTTCATGGCCTCAACAGTGTTGTGGAGATAGAAGAAGTTGGGGTGTGTATATCTGCGAGCACAGCGATTTAGATGGGTGACT